TAGATAGATAGATAGATAGATAGATAGATAGATAGATAGATAGATAGATAGATAGATAGATAGATAGATGATAGATAGATAGATAGATAGATAGATATCATATATATATATATAGAGAGAGAGAGGGAGGGAGGGAGGGAGGGATGGATGGATGGATGGATATATTTGGCTGCTACGTAGTGATTTCTGCCTTTTTATTTCCCAGGCTAGGCAAGCTATGCAAGAGCAACTAGCTCAGAACAAAGAACTAACCAAGAAGGTCCCTCCAGCGTCAGAAAGTGAAGAAGAAGACGTAGGTGACAACCCTGAAGCAGAGAAGGCTCTTGTTCCAGATGTGGTCAATGAGAGGCATCTCGGAATGGCTTCCAACAACCCCTGGATGTTAGGAAAAAGTCCTACAGAATCCAAGGAGAAGCCAAGTCTCCCAGCAGAAGACAGCGAAGAGAGTGAGAAAGAAGGAGAAGAGCCACTCATGGCCAACGAGAAGGACCCATCTCAAGGTTCTGACGGTCAGTGGCAGAGCCTTAAATGTCTTCAAGGTGAGTTGCCAAAGTATCCAGAAAAGTTTTACTCATATTTTGGGGGTCCTCTATTTCAGGGGTCACCAAACTTGGCAACTTTTAAGACGTAGAGACTCCAACTCCCAGAATTCCTCAGCCATGCACCATCAATTTGTACCTGGGCTAGAGAATCTGTTGGCCTCCATCAGATATTGGTGAACTAAAGTTTTGATCAGGTTGGTCTTGAGTGAGGAATGTTAGATGACAAGTGGAAATCTGCAGATTTCCCTTCACTCATACTTGTGCACTCATTGACATGGTTTGCACGTTGTATGATTCCCTAGTTCAGGGGTCGCAACCTTAAACACTCAAAGAGAGCCATAAAGGTGCTAACTGGAAGCCCGCTGTTCAATTCTGGAGCCGACCGAAAGTCCGGTTCCCCCACCAGAGAGTTTCCTCCTAGTACTGCATCCTTTTTCGTCTGCTGACCGGAAGTCCAGTTCCCTCACCATAGAATCTCCTCCTAGCGCTGCGTCCTTTTTCCTTTTACCAACCAGCGACAGGGAGCCGCAGCAGAGGGATGAAAGAGCCACATGCGGCTCCAGAGCTGCAGGTTGCTTACCCCTGCCCTAGTTTACCTGCACTACCTGAGCCAACTGGGTTGCTTTATAGAACCGTATATCAGGTGTATTTTGACTGACTTTGCATGGCGCAGTAGGCTAGAATGTAGTTGGCTAACTTAGGTGTCTGAGCGTTTGCACAACCAGACAACATCCTTGTGTCAGCCTAATGAGGTGATCCAGGCAAGAAGCACAGCCAGACGAAGTATGCCTACTCTATTGCATAAGGTTACATTATCAGAATCTTGCAGGTCTGAAAGTATAATTTCCCCCCTCGCCTGCACAGCCTAAACTAAAGTTAGGCTCTGTAAATTGCAGAGAAACTAAAGAGGTCCCTTCTGAGTTGTTTGCTATGCCCCCACTCCTTCTGTGGGCTCTGCTGCTGTTTCTCTGACCCTTGTGTGGTCTGCCGCTCTTCCCTTCTGTCTCCCAAGGTCATTCCTTCATACCATTGTGAACCATGCTGGATGAACCCAACCCAGACAATCGGGGCGATTTGGGTTAATCAGGAGTGTTTGCCACGCAAACATAAGCGATTCCCATGTTATCCAAGCACAGGGGTGTCAAACTCAAGGCCCGGGGGCCGGATCCGGCCCATGGGGGCCACCTGGAAACAGCAAAGGACGGGCCTGGGATGTCTCAGCCAGAAAAATGAAGCTCCCTTTTCACTGGCAGAGGATTGCGGGATGCCGTCGCAGGCAGAAAAAAAGAGCCCGGGAGCCCGTTTTCATTGGCAGAGTACTCGGGCCATCACAGGCGCCCTTGACGTGAGTAACGTCAAGCTGGCCACACCCACCCTGGCTACGTCCCCACACCCACTGAGGTCAAACACAATCCTGATGCGGCCCTCAACGAAATCGAGTTTGACACCCCTGTCCTAGCACGTGTGAACCTATCTGAAATGGAGTTTTGCTTTAGTCCGCCCTGGCAATCTTTCTTGTGGCACGCCAGTGGCCAACAGAGCTGGCAGCAGATTCGGACAATGAGAAGGTTGGGGAGGAACATGGGCCAGTCCTGGAGTCTGGGGAAGGATCTGATGAGGGCTCTGCGTCGGAGGCAGAGAGGGGGCCAGGGCCGTATGACAGTTATCAGCTGCCTTCGGAGTCAGACATCAGTGAGGCAGAGGAACAGCTGGAGCCTGTTCCCAGTGTGCGCATGCGCAGAGTTGCCACATTGAAGGTAACAGCTAAAGAATAGGGGTCGACTTGGGAGGAAGGCCATAGGTGGACGATGAATGGCCCCTCCCAGAGGAAATAAAAAGGGAGCAAAAGGGGAACGGAGTTTGCAGGAGACAATTAGTTCGCTTAATTGGTTTGTGACTCTCCGAGGCTCCTTGCCAAGTTCTGCAGATCTCGGCCTGTCAGCT